ATACTTTATATTAGGTAATTTATTTATTTATTTATTTTTAAAAAGTAGTAATCAAAATTTATGTCTTCAACCCAATAAATTATGAGTCATGGATTATAAAATAAAAATTATTAGGTAAAAAAATTTTAAATATTAAAAAAAATTATTTAATAATTAATATAAAACAGTTCCATCAATATAGTGTACTTTTTTGGATAAAAGAATAGTTGGATATATATAACTCTAAGCATATAACCATTGAAGTCAAGTGTTCGGGTCATCCACCGTCGATGAGGATCCGATACTCGCAGACTCCATGAAAAGCTCTCCAATTCTCGCCCCCAAAACCCTAAACCCTGATTTACCATGAACCATCTTCCAAAATGTCTTTACCCAGTTCTTTTCCGCCACTTTTCTTCACTACCCAGAACCGCGATCCTCACAAATATCCCAGTCAAGTACAGGCCGCAAGCCATCAAACAGGCTCAACAAGCCCTCACCGACTACTTTCACTCCACTAGGTCGATGCCCTACATCTGCGCCGAGCACATTGCCAAGAACTCAATCTTCTCCCTTTCCAATCTCATTGGTAAGATTGATTATTCAGCCACAAATTTCACAAGGTCCATCTCCAGATTACTCAGGTACCATCCGCTTAACGAATTTGAGTTCTTCTTTGAAAGTATTGGGATAGACCATAAGGATGTTTCTGTGTTTTTGCCCTCGAACAAGTTTTTCTTTTCCGAGGATGGGAGTGTTCTAGATGCGGCTGGTGAGCTATCTGGATTTGGGTTTCCGTGGAACAAGTTGGGCAAGTTGTATAAGCAAGAAGTTTCAATTTTTAGTAAAAGTTCTGGGGAGTTGAGATCTAGGCTTTATAGGTTTAAGGATTTTGGTTTTAGTAATGCTGCTGTGGTTGGTATTTGCTTAGCTTTTCCTCATGTGCTGTGCGGGAACAATGAATTGGGTGGTGAGGTTCGTTCCTTGTTTGATGAATTGAAAAGGGTTTTTGTAGATTCTGATGTAGGGAGTTCTATTGAGGAAAATGTGGATACTTGTTATAATATCTGTAGGAAAATTCGAATGTTTTGTGATTGGGGTTGTGACATGGGGAAGGTAGTGGAGCTGATGGGTAGGACTAAGAATGTTTTTCTTGAATATCCAGATGAGGCTTTAGTCCACAAAGTAGAGTACTTTTGTAGATTTTGTGTTAGGAAGGAAGATGCTGCTTTGTTGATTCTTCAAAGCCCAGAGATTTTGAGTTATGATCTTGAAACACCTGTGATTTCAGTTATGGGACTACTGAAACATTTTGGTTTGAATGAGAAAGAAAGGAATGTGGTTGCTCAAAAGTACCCCTATGTGTTTGGCAGAAATAAAATGGTAAACTTGCCTCATGTGGTTAGAGCATTAAACTTGCATGAATGGTTCTATGGTGTGATTAAGAATGGAAATCATCAGTTGCTAGGTGACTATTCCCTGAGTAACCCTGATGAAGACTTGGATAAAGAATTCATTCATGGATTGGAGAGAATCAAATCCTCCAGATGCCCTTTGCATACAATGAATAAGTTGAGTTTCCTACACAAAATTGGGTATGGAGAGAATGCTTTAACCATGAATGTGTTAGGTCGATTGCATGGCACTAGCAGCGAGTTGCAAGACCGATTCAATTGCCTTCTGCATTGTGGGATTAAATTATCAAATCTGTGCTTGATGCTAAAGACAACGCCAAAGATTTTAAACCAAAGTCCAGAAACCATAGAGCAGAAGGTAGATTTTCTCCTTAATGAAATGGAAACTTCTCTGGACTACCTTGATACATTCCCGGGATTTTTGTGTTTTGACTTGGAGAAACGAATCAAGCCCAGGTACAGATTCCACAAGTGGCTTACAGTAAAAGGGGTGTGTACCAAAAACTACTCCATTGCAAGCATAGTTGCAACCAGTGAGAAGAGTTACTTAGCTCGCCTGTATGGAATTCATCCTGCAGCTCCGAAACAATGGTTTGAGTTCTGGTATAGGAAATCCAGTAATTCTTTCTAAGAGATTGGTAGCTTTCCCACATAGACCTTTCATGAAGATTTTACTCTGTATTCATTAACCATATATTTTATGTTTCAATTCGATGTGTATTTTGCAAATGGGTTTTCTTGTACTTTAAGATGGGTTATTGAAAAGGATTAGAATGCCCAATTCAGATATCTGTCTTTGTTGTACAGCAAAAAAATTAATATAATATAATATAATATAATAAACAAATAAATCTTCCATTTTCCCCTTCAAAACCATGTGCCATGACACGTTTTGTTATACTGAAATTCAAGCTCCGGTATTTACTTCTATCCACTTTTTCTTTTTAAGCATAAATCCAGGATTTCTGTTCCTTATGGTACCTTCAAAGGCATGTGATGGCCTTTGCTTTACATTTATGGACAAAGGCACATCATTTTGTCAGCAGCACACAGCATGAGCTAAGCAAAACCGTTTTGGTCAATCTGATTAGAATGGAGGTTTGTATTTTTTAACGTTTCTCTGACTACTGATTAGGATGAAGGGTGTATATGCAACTGCCCTTTTTTCATGTAAGGTCAGGACCCTTTTCAACTGATTCTCTCCCCCCTCTCCCTTTCTTTCCTTACTGTAAATAGGCAACTTCCATACTACCATAATAACTAAATATGCTGTCCAAACTCCTATCTGTAAGTCCATCATGCCTTGATTAGTGGCTCTTGTAACCATCAGATAAGATTTTTTTTTCCTCTTCTGCTTTTCTTCCTATATTGCCCAAGATCTAGGCATATGTAGGTGGGCAATTCAAACCCGTTTGAAAGTGACTTTAAATTCTGCATGATTTATCCTTATCTTACATTTATATTTTATTAAAGAAGAATCATGAATCTCAATCTT